CCTGGCCGCAAATGTACTCGTGTCGGTCCAGAGCTTTTTGTTAATGTGGGCTAATTACCGCTTCCGGTCAGGTGCTGGGGGGCCTGTCTCCGGCCGTGGCGAGTGACGGGCCGACGCAATTCCTTCAGTTTGTGATGGTGGACAAAGGACGGTTGCAGTCCGCGTCCGCCGAGCGAGAGTCTGGAGCCGGAAGCGCGGACATCTACGTCCCATCCCTTGCCGCGGAACAGCATGGCGCGCTATCGCACCCAAAAAACTCATGAAGCTGAGCAACTTTCTAAAACTTTAACTGTGGCATTGAACCTGCTTTAAGGTCCTGACGCCAATACGTGGTATGATTTGATTTGTGATGCAGACGGCGGTGCCATTCAGCTCAGCTCGTTCAGCCAACGATCGCTGATGACCGGCGTGCATAACTGCGGATGCATGCCAGCAATCGTCAGCCATTTTTCCGGCGTCCTGAACACTCACCAAGGGGTGATTGATGCTCGTGCGACTGAAACCGAATGATGTCCAATGATTATCGCAGTGACCACTAAGCTGACCAAGTGGACGCCATCGGGAGGTGCAGCATCGGATCTTAGGGCGCCCGGAGATGCTTTACGGCGAGTTCTGCACAAGCCAGTACGCATGCTGCTACTTCCAATCACATACCCAGATATACAGCGGTAAAATCCCGGATGCAGCCAGCCTGGGAAGTTTTTAATGTTTGCAAAGTTGTTGGTACCATTAGAAGCCTTATCTCGCCATCATCACGTCTGGTGCCATCGTACGGATCGCGCAGTGTGCAACCAATCGGATCGAATCACCCCTGCTGCAGCAAAATCCCAAGATAACTCAGGCGTCACGCGAGTGAAGAGTGAACGTCCGCGCTATCTTTATGCAGCGCATTGATCTCGCCGTGTGGTTAGGTATCGTGCTTTGTTGAACTCCCCGGTCCGGTGTCTGGTGTCTCGCATCGTGTTAACATGGAGGCTTCGAGGCGCATTTTCTCGTTTGATCAGTCAGACAAGTGTTCTAAATGCTAGATAGGGTCTAAATATTACCAAGTGTATGTAAACGGCGCAAAAATCTGGGGCCTCCGAGATGACAGCTGATCTTATGTCGTTCCCGAAACCAACCGGGTCTCGGCAATTACATTACGCTGGGCTGCACTTTCGCCATGGAAAAATAATACTGTGAGATGCAAT